TATTTAAACAGGGCTATCATATCCCCTCTTAACCATCTCTCCTCCAGGTTAAACATACCTAAGTTCCCTAAGTCATTCCTCATAGGGCATAGTTTCCAGACCCTTCACCATTTTAGTCACCCTCCTCTGGACACGCTCCAGTTTTTCAGCGTCCTTTTTGGATGGTGATGCCTAGAACAGGACACAGTATTCCAGGAGGGGCCTGACCAAAGCAGAATACAGAGACACTATTACTTCCCTTGATCTAGACACTATACTTCTATTGATGCAGCCTAAAATTGCATTGGCCTTTTTAGCTGCTGCATCCCATGTTCAACTTGTGGTCTCCTAGGACTCCTAGATCCCTTTCACACGTAGTCTCATTCAGCCAGGTGTCCCCCATCTTATATCTATGCATTTCATTTTTTTGCCCTAAGTGCAGTACCTTACATTTCTCCATGTTAAAATTCATTTTGTTAGCTTTGGCCCAACTTTTTAATCTATTAAGGTAATTTTGGTCATAACAAGCATGGGCCCCTGTCTAGAGGAAATCCTGCACTTTTTTCACTGGAGGGCAGTGCTTCAGCTGAAATTGAGGCCAGTTTTCAAGTTGATATAGCTACAAGAAGCACAGGAACACCCACTGATGGCAAAGTTGGGTGGGTGAATTCAGACATTGGCTAGTCACTTTCCTTACTCCTCCCATATCCTTGTCTGCACAGGACAAAAGGCCTGTTTCTCCCACATTCTGGCATCATTCTGTTTGAACAATGCATGACCCTACCTCTGGTTCAGGTGCAAGCAGACTGGACAGCATCTGGCACATTCCACACCAGAACCAGGGTATAACAGCCTTAAACCACATTTTAAAAACTTACCTGTTATTTCAGATCTTCTCCCACTGAGCTGCCCTGACACATCTGCTACTGCCGCAGGTTGCCTGTTTTGAGGTAAGAACAAGATGTCCAGCCAGGTGACCATTGCTGGGCACCTCATTCTGACCTCAGAAGTGAGCAACCTGCACTGGATGTGCCAGGTGGCTCAGTGGGACACCCATGCTGACAGCTATTGCAGTGCAGGAAAGGATGGCCAGGTAATGCAGGAGATCGAGGCAGCTGTGGGGCAAAGATACTCCAGGGTGCTGTCTCCGAAGGATAATGGCCACTGCAGACAAGGCCCATGTCTCTCAAAACTGGTTTGTCAAAAGAAAGCAAGGGAAAAATAAAGGATTTTGTTCTGATTTCTGGTCCTAGTTTGGCAGGTAGACATCACTGGAACCCTTATTTAAAACAAAGGTGGGGAAGGTGTGAATCTCCAGATCAGGGGTAGGCAACCTAAGGCTCAGGGGCTGGATGCGGCCCCCCGAGGCCTTTGGACCGGCTCAAGGCCGGTCCTGCTACCACCGCCTGCCATAATGATATTGATTATTGTTTTTATTGCTTGTTCTTGGGGTTTTCTTGGCAGAATTTCCACAGGGGCTTTGCCATGGCTTTTTTGGGGCTGAGAGAGTGTGCATGCATATTTTTTAATTTTTTAATTTTTTTAAAGTATTTTTATTTATTTATTTATTTATTTTTGGTGCTTCGGCCCCCCAATTGTCTGAGGGACAGCAACCCGGCCCCCAGCTCAAAAAGGTTGCCTACCCCTGCTCCAGATATTGGACTGCAAGTCCCATCATCCACCATCATTGAATGTGCTGGCTACACCTGGAGGGAATTGTAATTCCACATCATCCAGAGGTCCATACTGCCTAAGTCCTGATGGAAAAGACTGGAAAATACTGGTATAAGAGACCCTGCCTGGATGGAAAGGATTCTGTCTACTTGCTGGGTGCAGTTCTACTGCTGGCAGAATTTAAGAAAGGTACTTTAGGGGGCTACATCTCCCAGAATCCCCCAGCAGCCATGGCTACTTGGGGATGCTAAGAGTTGTCCCAAACATAGCTTTTCCAAACTCTGGCCAGAGGCTTTACATGAACCGAGAAACATCAGCAGTCGTCTGTGTCAATTTATGCACAGCAAAGTGTTTATTATTTATGAGCTACATTTGTATTCTGCTTTTTCTCCAGTGAGCTCAAGGCAGGACACACAGCTCTCTCTTTTGCTCACAACAACCCTATGAAGTTGGTCAGGCTGACTGGGCCAAGGTCACTTACTGAGAGTCATAGCAGAATGAGGACTGGAATCTGGATCTCCCACATCTCCTTCTGTGCTCTAACCACTGGCTCAACACAGACACTAACTTTAAAAGGTTTTTTTTGTTGTTGTACAGTGGACCCTCCAAATTTGATGGGGTTAGGGACACAGGACCCCTGTGAAAATGAAAAAAATGCAGTTAAAAAACATCTTTTTGTTAACCTGAAAGAACACTTCTTTAAGAATCACTAGGTCCCCAGTGCAACTCTTGTTGTTGTTGTTGTTGCCGTTGTTGATAATAATAATAATAATAATAATAATAATAATAATAATAATAATAATAATAATAATAATAATAATAATAATAATAATATTTTTCCTGCGTATAAGACTACTTTTTAACCAGCAAAATCTGTGGTTAAAGTGGGGGGTCGTCTTATACGCCGGGTATAAGGATAAGGAGGATAGAGGTGCGAAAAATGACTGGAAAAATGGGGGTCATCTTATACGCCGGGTCGTCTTATATGCCGGAAAATACGGTAATATTAATAATAATATCCCCCTTTTCCCAAAACTGGAACTCAGAGTGGCTTACGATATTAAAAAAACAGTACAATTAAAAACATTCAAAAGTGATACATTAAAACAGAATTAAACTATTATAATATTAAAACATATTGTGTGTTAAAAGAATAAAATACAGTTAGAAAAGATTAAAGTGTTTAAAACAATGCAACGCTCTATAGTCAACATCAGCCAGAACATGACCATAGAATCATGCTGGAGGACCTACAAATGACTAGGAATCTCTAGGTCCTCTATGGTCAGCTTTCAGCAAAGTTTCCCTGGAGGACCTAGAGAGAACATACCAATTAAATTTGCAAATAATCAGATCCGCAAAAGTCAAAGCCACAAGTGTGGAGGGCGGACTGTATTTGGCATTGTTAATATGCTAGTGGTTAATTAGGGACCTCTGGATGGTGTGTGTTTGTGGAATTAGTCTTGTTTGGCTAATTTATTGGGTGGCGTGCCAGCTTGTTCCAAAATCCCTCCATCACAACTGATTTCGGAAATTAAAACTGTTTAATTTTCTCACCTTTATTACAAAACAATCTTGGCATTTGTGAACAAATTAACAAGTTAAATAAATATAAGAGCCAACAGATTGGCGTCGATAAGCAATGATTTCTGTGACTGTTGGTACTCATTTATTAACTATATTTATTGCAAGGAAAATGATATACATAGAATCACAGTGGCAATTAAAACAGTTTCAAACTGCATTTTTAATTCTGCAGTGTAGCCGCAGCTGTAGTTAACTTATGGTCATAATGGGTAGAATAGGGAATTTGACATATAGCATATAACTTATACATAAGGCATTGCCACTCATGGACATTACCTTTTGATATGCAGCCTATTCTTTCGTAGTAATTGCATAGTATATATTACAGTGTTTATATAATAATGAGGAAAATATTGTTTGGCTACCATGTAAGTCAGTCTTGTTGTGTGCCTTCAAGTCATTTCCGACTTATGGTGACCCGAAGGCAAAGCTGTAATGGGTTTTCTTGGCAGGAGCCATTGCCTTCCCCTGAGGCTGAGAGCATGTGACATGCCAGTGGGTTTCATGGACAAGCTGGGAATCGAACCCTGGTCTCCATAGTCATAGTTCAACACTCAAACTACTATGCCACACTGGCTCTCATAAGTCTCCCCCATCCTAAATACTACCTTGATCATACTACCTTGGAGTTAAGGAAGTATTAGTCCAAAATTTCTGCAAAGCTTTAAGTTGGGAAAGTCTAGACCAGCAATCCATGTTGCATTATGGATAGCAAATCCATTTGCCTTCAGAATGGACAGGTATGTGGTCTTCCAAAAGACAGCTAAGTCTGTCATCCTAAGTGCATCCTAAGTGCATCCTAGGGCCTTTTGAAATCAGACCCACTTCTGATCCCTTCTGATGCTTGCGTGGAGCTGGTACTAACCAGGACAAAAATGGCTCTGTTGGAGGAAATAGATTCATGTTATTGTCTTAATTAGTTTCACTCCTGGTGGTGAATGTAAGTGGCCTGCTAGGACAATTAGGTACACCTGGAGCCTGGAAAAGTTACATTTTTCTACCTCAAGTCGCAGAATCTTCCAACTAATATGAATTAGTACAACATTTGAGAGATGGAGCTGCCTTATGTAATGACCAAAATGGCTGGAGTCTTTGAAGCATTTTTATAGCCTGCCACACAAAATCCTTAACTAGATATCTCATGAACTGGACCTTTGGGCCACCTGGGCAAAATCTATATTCTCTGTCACTGCAATGAAGCCCTTTCTTCATTTTATTACATTCTTGATTCGTATTTTTAGTTTACAAATCTCCTTATAGGATGCCTCCCATTAAAAAATAAAGCCAGATTAACTCCTGGAAAATACCCTGAAACAGTAAATGTGTTAATACGCTGATTTTTTTTCATGATTTTATTTACACAGCTTAAGATGTGTGTGTGTGTGTGTGTTCAGATACATTAGTAACTATCCTTGGATTGAATTGGGACAGCTTAGTATCCAGATGTGACTTTGCATATCAAAAGAGAAATTGAGTTATGGGTGCACTTGGAAGCTGTTCTAAAATAAGTAGACCAGGGTCTAGTGAATGGGCTTGCAAATACCTTCATGCATCAGCACTATCAGAAGATTAAACTGCTGTAAATCTCATCATTTCTTTCAATGGCAGATTGCTAGGAACCCCAAATAAGAGCAGGGATAGTTAAATAGTCAAATTTTAATTGTATGAGGATGGGTGACACTTTAGTGCAGGGGTAGGCAACCTTTTTGAGCCAGGGGCCATGTTGCTGTCCCTCAGACAATTGGGGGGGGGTCGAAGCACCAAAAATAAATAAATAAATAAATATTTAAAATATGCATGCACACTCTCTCAGCCCCAGAAAAGCCATGGCAAAACCCCTGTGGAGATTTTGCCAAGAAAACCCCAAGAACAAGTAATAACAATAATAATATCATCATGGTGAGCGGTGGTGGCAGACCGGCCTGAGGCTGGTCCAAAGGCCTCGGGGGGGGGCGCATCCGGCCCCCAGGCCTTAGGTTGCCTACCCCTGCTTTAGTGAATGCCAGTTTTCCTGAGTTGGTCAGCAAACACTCACCCAAGGGCAAAGAATATATGATGCCATCCAAAATCCATGCCAAAACTAAGCAGGATTTTCCTTTTTCCGTGTGTAGATAGATGATTCCTTGGGATGTCATGGATATTCCCTTGAGTTTCACGATGGAAAAAAGGTGGGATATATCTGTTAAATAACAGAAATAGAAGTGAACATCTCTTAGTCCAGTGCTGGTCAGGCTGTCTGATGTAAGGAACCAGCAGTCTTTTTTGTTCTTAATGTGCCAGGGACCGGTACCATATTTGTGCCCATTGGCTACAAACGTTTGTTTTTCTTTTCCTGGAAACTTCCTGGAGTTTTCCAGGAAATGCCCTTTTATCCCAGACTAGCAGACTGGCAGCTGATTCCTGGCAAACTGGCCCTGGTCCATGGATCACTGCTTTGTGTAGCATAGGTTTTGACTTAGTCCATGGGTGAGGAACCTGTGGTTTTCTAGATGCTGCTTCTATCAGCTTATCTAGAGGATAGTCAGTAGTAAGTGATAATGGACATTTCAGTCCAGGAACATCTGGAAGGCCACAGGTTCCTCATCTCTTTTTAGCCCATCATTCCCACTGTACTTTAATATAATAAAGTAGACAGACACGTATAAGCGACATCACATCTGGAAAGAAGACCAGAATACAAATTGGACAAATCATCCCATTCATTGCCTGAAGAGAGGGATGACCGTGGATGAATGCCTTGCAATAAGCCTTAAATACCCTTTTACACCAGACCACTCCACATAAAATCCAATTAGCAAGCAAACTTGCTATTAAGGAATTACTTATTAATTGTATCTTTCAATGCTTTCAAAGCCCTAGTTGGTTCTAAATGATGCTTGCTGCCAGCAAGTGTTTTGATGCTGAGAAGTTGTTTGAAATATGCATGCAAATTTCCCTTTTCCTTTGAATTAAAAATGAGAAGGTCCAGGCCAGGTTTGGGGAATATGTGGCTCTTTAAATATTGTTGGATTGCAACTCCTCTGATTCCTCAGCATTGATTATCCAGTAAACCAGGAGAGGGAAGAGTTCATCCATAATTTATAATTTATATTTTATAATTTATATTTATCCCTCCTTTCCTCCACTGATTTTAAAGCAGCAGGCAGGGCCTTTTCTCCTGCATTATCTTCACAACAAACCTGTGAAGTAGGCCAAAGCCACTATTTGTAAAAGTTAGTCCTATCCCAAAGTAATCCAGTAAGCTTCCTGGCTAAGAGGTGACTCAATCTTGGGTCTCTCTGTCCAGCAGTCTGTCTGCTATACCAAAGGCTTATAGAATCAGTTTTGTTTTATTGCTAGAATAAGTAAAAACAGTTGTACCTGCTGGGATTTTGCAAGTTCTTGGGCATTTTTTTCCTTTGCTCCATTCTTTAGATCCTTTGTTATATGCCCCTAATTTTTACCCCTGACTTATTCATGGGTCATATCAAAATCCATAATTTTGGCCCCAAATCCTGCCTTCGATTTATACATGAGGTTGATCTATAGTCGAGTGTATACGGTATTTACAGCCAGCCCTCCACATTTGCAGTTTTGACTTTTGTGGATTTGATTATTTGCGGTTTTGACTTATACATTCTCTCTAGGAATCTCTAGGTAAGTGATGGCGAATTCTAGTGCCCAAACTCACTGGCATCCCCACACTAGGTATCACCCGGTGCTTGGGAGGGGAGTCCAAGGCACACTCTCTCAGCCTTAGCTAGCAATGGCAACCCCCCCCTCAACAAAACATGCCAAGAAAACTCCATGATAGTTTCACCTTAGGGTCGCCATAAGTCAGAAACGACTTCGAGGCACACAACAACAGATGCTGAAATAACAACAACAATAATAATTAGTAGTAGTAGTAGTAGTAGTAGTACAATCGGCCCTCCGTTTTTGCGGGGGACCTCAAGTCTGCAAGAACGGAGGGGTGACTGTAGTAGTAGTAGTAGTAGTATTTCTTACCCATGGATCGAGGTGGGTACACCCCTAGTCAAGATTAACATGATTTAGGCACAGGGTGACCAGACGTCTACCTTTTCCAGGACATGTCCTACATTTCATCCTCCTGTCCAGGAGAAATTCCAAAACGCCTTCCATTTTGAGCACAACTAAGAAGCACAAATTTACGTTAGTGTCTTTAGCTTTTATTGTGTAATGCCTACACTTTCTCTTGACTGCCTTGTCCTCCTTTGTGGTGAGGCCATCTGGTCACCCTGTACAGTGGGCCCTTGGTATCCGTGAAGGAGGACCGGGTGATTGACGGCTCCCTCTGACCAGTAGCTGATGAGAATGTGGAAGAGGTGCGATGGAGGCAGGCCCCGAGTTAACTTTTTGTGTTCTGGCAAGGCTTCTCTGGCTTTCTGTGCCCTCGGCAGGGAGGCAGGTGAGTCCCACAGCGCGCATGCCCACAGAGAGGGCTCCGTGTGTTGCCTGTGGCACGCGTGCCATAGGTTCGCGATCAGGGCTCTAGGTCCTCCAGTGCAACTCTGCCAGATGTTGACCATAGAGGCGTGCCAGAGAACCATGAATTTCCTAGAGAAGACACTTCTCTAGGCCAGGGGTAGGCAACCTTTCCCCTTTAAGGGCCAAGGGA